CTGCTGGCTTCGGACAGAAACCCTCCAAGGGGTGTTCTGTTGGGGTCTTCTGTCGCGCAATTCTTCCGTTACAACAATTAATGCCCAACGTTCTTCTCTTTTAATGCTGCGTTAAATGGACAGTTTATGGACGATTCAATGCCCAACGGACTGGTCATTGATGTCCAACGTTCAGGTCCATTAACACCCCATTTAACACACAACAAATCCTCCTATAAATAGCTGGCAGGTGCGTTGCAACAAACACACGGTTTGACACAACGCACAATACATTCCTCACGTATTCTTGAGCTAAAAACACCTACAGCTACTCTTAAAATTCCTTCTGTGTTCTTACTTGGTTCTCGTTCGCTGGTACTCTTGTTTGTGTGCTCAAACACTAGTTCGTAGTCATCGTATCCTGGGAAACGATTGTTGCAACGCTCCTAGCACTGTGGGAGGCAACAAATACGTTTTAAGGACATCGTGCGTAGCACGAGCTTTGACTAATTCTGCTTCATCTCCTTTCTTGTTTTTCTCTAGTCATTTTATTTAATTAATTTATTTTAATTAATTTTCTTTATTTTCCGAAACACACCCAACACTTATATACACTTGGAAATACCCGACCCTGTAGGTCATTGTTTATTTGTGAAAAATAACGGTAGTCAATGTCCTTGACTTAAAACCTCAGCCCACCCATAGACCTATGAGTGTATAGGACTCCTCCTGTCCAAATCAAATAATCATAAGGACACCGCCCGGTCCTGAATTACTAAACAGTAACTTATGAGTTTTGAGGATACACGCCCGATCCTTGGGTACTCCACCCTATTTAACCGAGTTTTGAGGATACCGCCCGATCCTTGGGTACTCCCCCCATCCTATGATCTACCACATATCATACTCGATAGGGCCTATATCATAATCAATAAACAAGACTAGACCAAATCTTAAGGCCTATGCAAAATCATTCATGCAATTCATGCATTAAAATTAGCATATATGCAAAGTAAGGCCAAACCGGTGCCGGTTCAAATCTGACCGGTGCCGGTTCGTAGTCAAATAATATGAGCTGGGCTAAACCCGCTCGAACCGGCGCCGGTTCTATGCATGACCGGCGCCGGTTGCCCTTGGGCAACCGGTCAACCCTCGGTTGACCCGCTATTTCAAATCCATAAAATGTAAAACTTAATTACAACATGTATTAAGTTATAAACAACCATAGTATGCACCATTAATCTCTAAACATGTCACATATGTTTTTATAAACGTTTTCATATCATAATTCATGCATATCTCAATAGTTCATTTCATACAAGCCTAATCACTTTGGCTAATCACATGTTTAATCTCATTTAAACATTATTATGAACACATATAACATTTACTTAGGTAATCTCATGCTTAACCCAAGAGTTATAAGACATTAAGCCATCCACTCACCTCAAATGAGCTTTAGGAAGTTCTACCCCTCTTAGTTGAACTCCGGCGAAACTCCGGCGAACTCCGGAGAAACTCCGGCGAACTCTAGAAACCCTTTAGTCAAGTTCCTAACAAGGTTTTATCATCTCAAAACCCATATCAACACAAATAACCTCTAAAAGGTTATTTTCCGGTGAACCAGTCATTTTAGCTTCTAAGTCCGTTCTTGGACTTAGAACCACCTTTCAACCCCTCATTCTACACCTCCAAACATGTAGAACAATTCTAGGAGTCTTCCATATGATATATAAATCATATGATAGAAGAAAAATAAAGGAAGAGTTATAATAAGGTCATTACCTTACTCCTTTCACATTTTTAGTGCTTTAGCTCCTTTCCTTGAGATTCTTTCTTGTGAGCTCTCTTCAACAATGAAGGAGGGTGGGGAGTTTCTTTTCTCTTGTTGGGTGAAGGCTGGCCGAAATGAGGGGTGAGAGAGATGGGGGGTTCTCTTTTGTCTCATTGAACAAATGAGTGTGGATGGGATCCACCTCATTTTTGTTTGATGCTTTTTCCCTCAATTCACAATCTTCCCCCCATGTCTTCCTATCTTACCAGCCGGCCAACTCCTTAATTTGAGTGGCCAAATTCGTGGGTTGGCCCCCATCCATGTGGGAGGTCAACCCTTTTTGTCCAGAAGTGTACATTCGGCCCCGAAAGTTGTATTCCTCAGACTGTTTTAATTATATTTTATTTTATCGGGTAAGATAAAATATATTGTGTGATCTCAATCACTATGGACCTTTAGAATAATTGTAGATTCCCCAACTTTAATTTAGAAGTCTCCGAAATTTAATTCGGACTGTTATCCGGTAAATTACCAATACCGGTAATTGGGCTTCGTTTGACCGACGGGTCAACCCTAAGCCCTTTCTATGGCCCAACTAAAATATATACCATCATATAAATATTATCTAGACCAAGATGAATATAATATGTGGTCCCAGGATTATCGGGCGGTCCACGCTCCCGGTGTGGGCCCCACGTGCAGTTCACTATTCACGCGAAAGAAATAACCAAAAATTTACAACCACGTAAATTCATAAACCAATATTCAAGATTTATTACATGATTTACAAAAAGTAAATATATTTGGGGACGGTGTTACACATACTCTCTCCGTCCCGAAAAGGTTGGCCAAAGTTGACTTTCACGTTGATTAATAAAGTAAAAACTGTGTAGTTGAAATTTTTGTGCAGAGGGGAGAGAATTAATTTTAGCCACATATTCCTTACTTTAAATGTAAATCACAAACCTTTTGGGACATCCAAAAAAGGAAATTTGGCCAACATTTACGGGACGGAGGGAGTATTTGTCTACTAATCCTATTCAGCATGCTCGCAGCAAACATATCAGTATTGACTATCATTTTGTACGTGAACGAGTGGCGCATGGGGATCTGGTTGTACGTTATGTTCCTACGTAGTTCCAGCTTGCTGATATTTTTAAAGAAATTAGCCATAATAGGACTTAAACATGCTAAAAAACTCATATTAGGACTTACCAAGTTTTCTCTCGTTAATAGGACTTATACGGTCCTATCTTACGTTTTACTACTTTAGGAAATATCCTAAATACCCCTATTCGAAGTTAAGAAATTTCCCGGCCTTTTTCGGTTATCCAGTTTCAAGCCGTTAAGGAGTTTCCGTTTACTTGTTGGTTGAGTAGTTTCCTTATCCGAGTAGTTTCCTTGTTTGTCAATTCTGCATTCTTTTTCCTGCATTCTTTTGTCATGGATTTCTCTTGGAGTACGAGGTCATAGCTGCCTGTGTTTCGTTCTTTGCAGAGTATGTTTACTTCAAATTTAAAGCTTTCATAATACTGGCCGTGATTCTGTTTTCGTTCGTCAATTCTTCTTCAATCGTTGTTACATTGAATTCGCAATTGCCTTCTGTTTTTCCTTCCAGCTCTGTTTTTTTCTTCAATTTCATATTATCGATCCTTTCATCATATGATCGCTTTCAAATTCGTTATAATCAACAATTTATTTCGTATGTAGTTGTACTCTGTTTTATTTCATTAAATTTCATCCGCTAGTTTAGATATCAGTTTGTATCTACAATTTATTTTGTTTTTGTTAAATTCTCTATTCTTCTACCTAAATTATGCCCTTCGAACTGTCATTTAGTTTGTTCGAACTGTCATGTATATGCATTTTTTGATTACTCCTTTTTATGTTCTGTAATTGTATATAACTGGTACACATTCTTATAAACTGTCATATTGTTAACACAACTGTCATAATTTTGTCCAAACTGTCATTTAGTTTGTCCTACGTTCCTACCTGAATATGCATTTTTGATTTCGCCTTTTTATGTTCTGTCATTCAATGGTACACATCCTTATAAACTGTCATATTGTTAACAAAACTGTCATTATTTTGTCCGAACTGTCTTTTTTCATACTGAAATATTTCTTTTGCTGCATTTTTTTAGGAACCTTTTTACCACAATGGATCCTATTTTACTTGTTATGGTCAAGGTTGACAGTTTTTGGGATTCTAACAATGTGTTCAACAATGTCCACACATGTGGCCTTCATGTTAACTATAATGTTCAATATGCTTCTTTTATTAACTCTTTGAGTGACATCCTTTCTCAGTACAAAGCTAATCATAATTTCAGGCTTTCTTATATGCGAGATGGATTTCCTCCTCCTGTTACTATAAATGATCAATCTACCTTAACATTTTATCTTTATATCAAGTCTCTTCAACCAGATTTTTCATTGTATCCACTTTGTGTTGAGTTTTATCATGTTTCATCTTCTCCTGCATTTTCTATTGATGTTGGACCATCTGCTTCTCCTTGGTCTGAAAATGTTGTCATTTCTTCACAGCAACATACCCCTTATGATGACAATGTTGTTGTTTCTTCTCCCCATGCTTCACAACAACATACCACTTATGAGAATGTTGTTGTTTCTTCTGCCCAACTACATTCCTCCTCCCCTGCACTTTCTTTTGATGATGGCCCACCATTTGGTCAATATGAAAATGTTATGCTATCTGGGGTAAGTTGTGGCCAATCCGAAGATATTGTTTCTTGTGGTAACACTGTGTCTGCAATTGTAGAAAATGAATCATCTGAAGACAGTGATGACATGTCAGATGATATGTCAGATGGCCTTTTAACTAAATCATCTGACTCATTCTCATTTCTCCAAAATTTTGAAATCATCACACAGTCCCATCCTACTTGTCTTCTTCTCCATGCTATTTACAAAAATAAAAAAGAACTTATCCACCATCTGAAGATGTATGTTATCACAAACCACTTCCAATACAGAACTAAGACATTGAAGAAAATATGTTTGCATTTTATTTGCTTAGATCCAAAATGTTGTTGGAGTGTTCAAGCTGTAAAACTACATGGCGTAACAATGTTTCAAATCAGAAGGTAACTTCAATTTTCCTTCTTTAATTCACTTCATTGTAAATTCTGGTTTATAAGAATGTCATGTTGTGTTGCCATTCTTATACAGGACTGTCAACTTCATATTATGTATTTGTATACTAATGTCATTTTTTCTTTTCAGATTCCGGGCAGTTCACACATGCTCTATTGATTACAGACAAGGCAAACATAGACAGGCATCTGCTAGTGTGATAGCAAATATTATTGCACACAAATACCTTGATGCTTCCAATAAACCATACCCCCCCCAAAGCAAATTCGTGAGGACATGAGTATGTAGTATGGAATTTCCATGTCATACAACAAAGCTTGGAAAGCACAGAAGAAAGCAATGCAGCTGCAATTTGGTTCTGATCTTGAATCCTATCAGCTTTTGCCTTCAATGGCTTATGTGCTTGAGAAAACAAATCCTGGCTCTATGTTTAATCTAGTCACAGGGAAGGATGATGCATTTTCTACCTTTTTTATGTCATTCAAACCATGGATAGAAGCTTGGCCCTACTGCAGACCTGTTCTTATATTGGATGGTTCTTTCATGAAGGCTTACTATAAAGGCACTCTCCTTACAGCTTGTTGCCAAGATGCCAATGATCACATAATTCCTATTGCATTTGGTATTTGTGGTTCTGAAACTAAAGCTTCTTGGAAATGGTTCTTATCCAAAGTTTGTCAATCAATAAAGTACAGACATGACCTGTACGTAGTATCTGATAGGCATAAAGGGCTTATCAAGGCCGTTTCTGAACTCTTGCCACATGCTAGCCACGGTTTTTGTGTTGCTCATCTTGGTCGTAACATAACATCAAAATTCAGAGGATCTATAGCTGGTTTGGGATGGAAGTTCAAAGCTGCCTATATGGCAGCAACTATGAAAGAATATGACGACTACTTATCCATGTTGGATTCTGAAGACCCCAGGATAAGGACTTGGCTAGACAAATTAGGTGCTAACACATGGTCAAAAGTAATGTCTGGCCCAAAGAGATATAATATTATGACATCAAATTGTGTTGAGTCTATGAACAAAGTCAATGTCTGTGCTAGAGAGTATTCTGTGTCTAAACTTGTTGATTTCTTGCGTGAAAGGATGCAACAATGGTTCACAGAGAGGAAAGATAAAGCTGAGAAAACAAGTACTATACTCACAAAGAAATGTGAGAAACGCCTGGTAGCTTTGCAAGCTGAATCCACACGTATGAAGGTATGTCAAAGCTTATTTTTTGACTTTGAATACCATTAGCCGGTTTTCATTTTTTCATCTCCTTTTATAATTCCACTTTGTTTGTTAATATGTCATTTTGTCTTTATAATTTTGTCATTTTGTGTACTTCATATTCAAATAGTCTTACTAGCGTTTTTATTTATCATTTCTCTTCTACTTAATATTCATATATAAGTTGACATTTTACATACTTCATAGCCACATATTACTGCTATATTCTTTTGCTAATTCTCTTTTTTATCTACTTTCATATTCTTATTTTTTTTATTTCACGGGTTAAACCACCATGTGCATATGAATTTGAAGTTGTTGACAGTAGATGCAAGTCCTTTGTGGTAAAGCTCAACTCTAGAAGTTGTACATGCGGCCACTTTCAATTAGATCAATTTGTGTGTGTTCATGATGTGGCTGCAATCGGTATACGCCCACACCTTTCATGTTATACGTACATATCTCCATATTACACAAGAGATGCTTGGCTTGCTACATGGTCTGGTATCATGCATCCTATTGCTGATCCTGACAGTTGGTCAATTCCTGCTACTATTCAAAACCAGAGATGCAAGCCACCAAGTTGTTTGAAGCGTCCTCCTGGTCGCCCTAAGAAATGCAGAATTCCATCCATTGGAGAATATAGAGGTTCAAAACGTAAAAAATGTTCTAGATTCCATGTGCTTGGGCATAATAAGAAAACTTGTAGAAATCCAATTCCAATTAATACCCAGTGATGTAGATTTGTCCACTCATTTTATGTTGTCTTCTGTTTTTTTGTACTTTTAACAATTCTACTATGTGGTTTGGACTTGGTTATCATTTCCTTGAACGTTTAAGGTTTTGTGCTTTAGCCATTCTTGGCATTTAAGTGTTTATGACTTGTGCTTTAACCAAATGTTTTATCCCAAATGTCATCTCAATAATGTAATGTCATTTTGTTTATGCATAAATGACATATGTGACATTTGATGGCATTTTGTATTCCACAAAATGTCATGTTACTTGTCAATTTGTTGTCATTTATTTACTACATGTAAATGACATTCAATCCTAGTATCCATCTACATGTTACTATAAAAAATGCTCTAGATAAACTGGGCAAGGGGACGTACGTCCCTTGAACAGATAGATTTCAAAGTTGATGTCATTTTGTTTTCTAAAAAATGTCATCCAAATGTCATTTATCACGGATTTTCTTCATGTAAAAATCCGTGCTTACATAAATATAAGTACCCTGTGTAATGCATTAACACCAAGTCATCTTTAATGTAAAAATCAAACAGATTTTTTGAACGTAATTCAATAAAATGCATTGTCACAATGCATTGTCATAAAGCATATTTCATACATTCAAAACACAATGAAACTTGCTTTAACCAAGTTTTTCAAAACGAATGTACTAGATGTCTAGATGTCCTGACATGATATTAAAAGTACTAGTAAATATAACAGTCTTCCAAAACAAACATAATTGTTTCATCCTACAATCCCATTTCTTTATAGCTTCATTTCATTCTCTCTCACCCTGCCTCCTCTTGCTATATAGGACCAGTTCAGTTGCCATTTTTTCCTTAAACAAAGGTATTGCTTCAGGATATATGCCATCCATGTCCATCCCCACCATTAGAAATTCAGCCATCTTGAGCATGAACATTCCACAATTTCCCCTGATGCATAACACCAAAAATTAAAAGAAATTTTTAAAATAAAAAAGTACACTATTATACAATCTGATTAAGCAAATTTATATCCTCTTACCCATCATCTTGCTGTGGACATCCTTCTACAGGCTCAACTTCCAAAAACCTTTCACCCATAGGATCCTCACCCATCTTTTCGTACACTTTGTGATATTCCATTATTTTGGGTAGGAGGACTGTTATGCATGCAACATAGGACCTGATATCCCTTAGTGAATCACCTCTTCTAGCATTGGAGTTGTACACTCTTACCTTTCTTTGCTTGATATCTAGTACTACCAAAACCCAATGGTTGCCAGTATTCAGAGGGAAGTACACGAAGTCTGCTTTGCTCCAGTGTAGGCTATAGTTGTTCGCACCTATTATGTCACGAACGATGTTTTCTTCTTGTGCTGACTTGTGGTATGTATAGTGCCCCTTTGATATAGTGTCAAGCTCCCGCTTCAGTATTTGCAAGAAAAAAGGCCTAGTTGTGGTGTAGTTTTGTGGCAGTTTGTAATGCACCCGTTTCATGCCCAAATAGTACATTACTACCTCAACATGCTGTAAAAAATAAAACACACATTTATCAATTACAAACTAATTCAACTGACTTTTAATGGCATTCTATACAAACAAACATACATATAAATGTACACTTGGGAGTTAGACTGACAAAACTATAACATTTTTGAATTTACCTTGTCAGTGATCCATTCATGATTCGTAAACATGTCATATAACCATGTTTTTTATTCAACTTTCATAGTGTCTAGCAAGAACGGTTTGTGAACCATTTTTTCTTCTTCCACTTTGTACCTTCTGCCATTTTTGTTTTTTTGAAAATTCTTCAACAATCCAACTTGGAGGTATGCTCTCACCCTCTCTATTTCATGATCTGGTGGGCTCTCTGTTGGATCTTCTGTGAAAGGTCCAACTATTTCCTTCAGTGGAGGCAAAAATTCATTGTCAACTCTTTTCTTACCCTTTTCTCTCTTCCTCCTCTTTGGCGAATGCTCAGATGGAGTGTACTTCACTGGTGACCTAGCAAAACGCTTTTGTTTGGGAAGATCCTCTTGTTCCTGTGGCATTTCCATAATATATATTATTTATTATACTTTTCTATATTTATTGAAAATGTATTAATACACTCAATGTCATACTAAAAAATAATCATAAAAATATAAGCATTATAATCAATTTGTAAAATATTTTGTCATTCAAGTCAAGACAATATTACATAAAATGTTTTGAGATTCATAAAAATCATGTATACAATGGTGATATGTACTACAGAAGTCACCAATTTGTCAGTTTCATAACTTCACATAAACTGTATATCACATAACTTTACTAATTTGTCACTAATACTTCGAATGTCACTTTTATGTCAGTTTCATACCTTCCAAATGCTACTTGAATGTCATTTTATTTTTTTTAGTTACCTGATTAGGCTTCACTATGATTGCTGTACATGGATTGGAAGAATAGCTCTCAAAAGCCTTTTTGGCCACTTCATCTGCAGTTTTGCAAATCTCTTTGACAAATTGACTATTGTCCTGTGACCCCATCCCCCAACAAGATTCACCAGTTTTGTCCATCTCTTGAGACTGACTCAATATGTTAAACGTAGGCATGTCACAAACTACATCTTCATTGTGCTCGGTCTCTACAACATCTTTATCTAGAACAGCATCCTCATTTTTTGCACCACCATCCCCAATATGTAAAATATCATCCTCAGTCTGTGCAGCAATGTACTCAGTCTCCTCTTGCACATGAATGTCAGCAGTATCATCATCCTTTAGCCTAGGTTCCTCATCATTCTCGTAATCTTGCCTAGTCATGTCATCATCTTCTTTTTCATTAACATTTTCTTCTTTTTCTGGACTTTCATTCTTTTCAACTTTCTCTGTTATTTCTCTTGTGTCCTCATCTTCACCTTTATCACTGCCTTGTGACATCTGTTTGACAATAAGTAGAACTTCTTTTAAAAGATCTTCCTGCTATTTCTGAGTTTGCTTAATGTTTTTCATTTCTGCCACTAGTCTGGCAGTCTCCTTAGCTTGTTTCCTCATGCTTTTTTGCATAATGTTACTATGTTTGCTCATGAACATAATATATTTCTCTGCTTTTCTTCCACTATCACTTGAATCATCTTCTTCATCCTCACTCTCAGTGCCTTCATCACTCTTTGTTTCCTCATCACTTTCGAATTCCATCTCAATCGTCTTTCTTCTTTTAGAAGTTCCCTCGCCAGATTTACCTTTTCCCTTCACTACTTTTCTTGTTTTCCTTTTCATGCTTCTGGTCTGTATTGCCTTTTTTTGCCTTTTTCTGCAATAGCTTTCATCTTTTCAGCATCTAGCCTCCCCACATTTGGAATAACAATGTCCATTCCATGGCCACCTCTGTCATTGTTTCCTCCAATCATGGCAATCTCTTCTTCTGTTGGTACGATCTGTGTCCACTCAAACTAAACAAGTACACTTTGTTAGTAAAAAAATTGTAACCTTATAATCTAGATATATTTAGACTATTAAAACTAATACCTTGTCATTCTTGAATATTATTTGGGAAAGCACCTCCAGTGTAGGTTTTTTCTTGAATTCCCACTTCAGTGTCCTTGGTAAGATGTTTTCTCTGCCCTTTATTAGCTTGCACAAACCAGCTTTTGCAAGTCCTGGGAATGTCTCAAATGCCCACCATTGTAAAGCCACCATGTACCCAGGGAATGTAACTCTGTCCCATTTGCCTTTATCTAATGCCTCACAACTTTGTTTTATTTTGTCAACCAACTCGTTCCAAACATCATCTCCCCATGGGTAAGCATTGAATGCATCCAAATCGTTTACCAGGTTTATGTAGTATACTTTCATAGGCCTGGCAGTTTGATTCCCAAACAAACAATGGGACAATATGTGTAGTAGAGCCAGCTTCACTCCATCCTTTGTCATTCTTCCTTCATCAGTGCTCTCATAACTCTTCAATGCATTTTGGATATCTGCACGGGACACTGTAGCCTTGTTCTCAAAATATCTTCTCCATATATCTCCCTCAGGCTCCTCTGAAATATTTGGCTTCAGACTCCCAAATTTTAAACCACACATTGTTGCCATATCAGCCTTTTGAAAACTGATTACACTGTTTTGAATATGAAATCTGATGACACTGTCATCTGCATTTCCATTAACTTCAGTGACATAGTTTCCAACAAATCCTAACAGTAGTTGTCCACTATTCCAAAACATATCTTCAATTTTTAACATCCAACCAAATATGGTGTTACTGAAATCAGTCAGTTCCTCAGTGCTAAGACATGTCCTTATTCTTTTAAGAACTTCAGCAACATTGCAGTAAGAATTGACACACAAGTTTTCCAAGTCCACTAACACTGACTTCGTAAAAGCTCTTGTTATTGTCTGTCAAGTTCACACAAATATAGGCATTATAATCAATTTGTAAAATATTTTGTCATTCAAGTCAAGATATTCATAAATAACATGGTAATATTAACTACTTAAGTCATTAGTTTGCCAGTTTCATACTTTCCCATAAATTGTGATAATTCTTGCAATTTCACTTTTCATTCAGAATGCCACCATATTCTTCTCTATTTTGCATTATGTTGTTTTATAACAACATGACACACTAAAAACTCACTAAACTATCATTTATGTGTCAGACTTTCAATTTCCAATTCAATGTTGTGTTAATTTCCTTTCAATGTAAGACATATTCATAAAATGTCACTATTTCATGCAAACTGTCATCGCAGTAATGATACATACTTACAACCCCACAATATAACCACATATTAGTGGAATGTCACTTTTCATACAAAATGCCACCATATACTTCTTTATTTTGCACTATTTTGTTGTATAACAACATCACAAACTAAAAATGATCTCCTGAATTCTCAGTAAACTGTCATTTATGTGTCAGACTTTCAATTTCCAATTCAATGTTGTGTTAATTTCCATTCAATCTAAGACATATTCATAAAATGTCACTATTTCATGCAAACTGTCATCACAATAATGATACATACTTACAACCCCACAATATAACCACATATTAGTGGAATGTCACTTTTCATACAAAATGCCACCATATACATCTTTATTTTGCACTATTTTGTTGTATAACAACATCACAAACTAAAAATGATCTGCTAAATTCTCACTAAACTGTCATTTATGTGTCAGACTTTCAATTTCCAATTCAATGTTGTGTTAATTTCCGTTCAATCTAAGACATATTCATAAAATGTCACTATTTCATGCAAACTGTCATCACAGTAATGATACATACTTACAACCCCACAATATAACCACATATTAGTGGAATGTCACTTTTCATACAAAATGCCACCATATACTTCTTTATTTTGCACTATTTTGTTGTATAACAACATCACAAACTAAAAATGATCTGCTAAATTCTCAATAAACTGTCATTTATGCGTCACATTCTTAAGTTCTAATTCAAACAAACGCATATTCATAAAGTATAACTAATTCACGCAAAATGTAACCATAGTCTTCATACACACTTAAAATGCCACCATATAACAACATGATGCAATGAAATGTTATTACATTCAAACGATTTAAACTTTCTAAACTCCTTTAACTGTCAAACTTTTGTCAATTTCAGACATTCTTCTACTCAACGAAATTACTACTTACTATTTCGGACATTCTTCTACTGACGGAAACTTTGTTTGACAAATCCATAGCTCTGTCCATCAACTCTACTCAACGATTCTACTCTCCTCAAATTTGAGCGTCGTCTAAGATGAAGGTTTACTACCTCTGTGCTTTGAAGTTTTGAATCGAAGTGCACTTTTGATAGTCGTCGAATGACTGATCTCTTCAATCGCAGCTCTCAACCGTTCCGATACATGTTCATTTAATTTGGAATCTCTTTTTCGGCGGCCATGATCATAATGGATGCTTGGAAACCGGGAATAGCCGGGGGAAAGAATTAACCGTCAAATAAGGGAAGAGTACGTGTGTATCGTTTAATGAGGTCATTTTTGGCAATTCAGCGCATATTTGGTCCTATGCGAGTCGGGGGAAAAGTGGATGTCCTATTTTTGAAATTTTGATAAGTAATAGTCCTCTTTTGTAAAATTTCTCATATTTTTACTAAGTGTTTGTCTCCACAGCGTTTTATTTTTCTCAGAGACAATTTGTGCGTTGTTTCCCCGGTGTAATTAGTTTCCTTGTAATAGAATTCCTATTGTATTAGGTTTCCTTATATACTCTAAACATTTCTGATTATGTTTAGAGTAATTTGATGCTAAGCCAGCCTAATTTGATGCTTGTTGGGCCATGGAAGTGTAAATAGGTTGGCCCATCCCTAAGAGGCGGAATCCAACTAAACAAACGACCAACAAATCGGATAAGGATGGACTTAGTAGGAGTGCTCAACTGGATGACGGAACCTAAGGATTCAGCGACATTTCCGGCGGGCAGTTGCACTAAATGGATAGAGTTCTGTTGCTGTATAAATAGAGAAAAACCTAGAATAGAAGGACACGATCAACCCGGCTTGATAAAATAAGCATTTGTAACACCATTCTTTCAGAAATACATTGAGATTAATACATTTCCATTCATTCATCTTTCGATTTTCATACTTTATTTCTTGTACGATCCCTACATACATATATATTTAGAGTAGTTTAATTCTTGCTTAAACAATTTGGCGCCCACCGTGGGGCATTGTGCAAGGAAAGATCATCAACCATGACCGGAAACAGCCCTTTGTTAGAGGAAATCCACGCTCAAATGGAGGCAGTTCGAACGGAGTTTCGCCGGGAATTGGCGGAAAGGATGGCATATCTCCAACGAGAGAACGATCTATTACGATCCCAAGTTCAGTCGGCAGTCTCAATCGCATCCAACTCTAGGGGCAATCGAAGGAACGATCTCATGCCCGTGGTCACGAGGCTAGATTTGGAGTCCATTCCGACGGCAACGGACACGCCCACCATCGCTTCCGAGCCCATATCTCTCACGTTGGGCCTCTCACCGGCCGGGAAATCACAAACCACTGTCATCTCTCAAGTGATACCGTACACACCTCTCATCCCTGAAACGACCCCTATCCCAAGCATTCCGACCTGTTTCTTCCCGGAGTCGTTGCGCCCGGGATCAAGAAGGATGGGATTGCAGGCGGCCACTCAAAGCCTACCCATGACGTCAGGCGCGCTAGACCCGACGGAACCGTATGTCACTCATTACCAAAGCAGAACCCGTGACGAACCCGGACCGTCTGGTCTCATGCAGGAAAGGACCCGGAGTATATTCGATGAGTTGCCACCTGTATTTCAGGCACAACGGCAGCGTAGACCAACCGCGTCAGCAGGGCAGAATTGTGGAGGACGACGCCCTGAGGTCATAATAATTCCGTCACCAACCCGTCCCGAAGCAACCCCGATGGCAGGATTGACAGTCTCGGCGCCTGAATCCATTCAGCCAGTCCAGGTGGATCCGATAGCAATGATTATGGAGCAACTCCGACAGATGCAGGATAAGATCAACGGATTGCCCGGAGTACCCCTTCCGTTGGATCGGGCCTCAAAGACATGTTATGCGGACTCGCCCTTCAGCAGACAGATTACAGATGTCGAAGTGCCACACAAATTCAACGTTCCCTCCATTAAAATGTTCGACGGCACATCTGACCCGGTGGAACATGTCGCCCAATACAAACAACGAATGCTTGCCGTATCGCTCCGACCGGATCAAAGGGAAGCATGCATGTGTCGCGGCTTCGGGGCAACATTAGCTGGCCCAGCGCTCAAATGGTTTGTCAATCTGCCTAATGAGGGTATCGAGTCATTTGCAGAACTGGTCGATTCATTCAATCATCAGTTCGCGAGTAGTCGAATACTTGAAAAACAGACTAGCGACCTTTACAGAATCATATAGCGACGCGGCGAATCGTTACGGGATTACCTACACCGTTTTAACAAGGAAAAAGTTTCCATTCCATGGTGCGATATACCGACAGCAGTTGAAGCGTTTCGGAGAGGCTTATCCGACGACTCAGAATTATATCGGGAATTGACGAAATATCCGTGCAGAACCTTTGAAGACGTCCATGCTAAAACTTTGGCCTTCATCAGGCTAGAAGAAGATCAGCAGACGCGACATCGGCAGGATGCATATGACGGAGGGAAACGTAAATCAAGCACATCCAAAAAACACGATTACAGAACCGGAAAACCCTATGTCAGAACCGAGGATAGACCGGTCTCGTCGATAGTAAATTGGCTCGACGATCCAGACTTACCACCAGTCATCAATGACTATTGTTTCAATGTTGCCACTCCGGGCCTCATTCACTCTCTGGAAAAATTGGGGGAAAAGGTCAGATGGCCTCGAAGGACGGACAAACCAGCGGGCTGTCGAGACCCGAGTAAACGTTGTGATTTCCACGGCGATATCGGACACAACACGGAAGATTGCGTCGCATTAAGGAAAGAGGTGGTCTATTTGCTGAAAAACGGTTATCTGACGGAGATCATGTCTGAACGCACCAAATCACTGCTAGGACGGAATGATAAAGCGTCATCGGATGAGTCTAGGCCGCCTTCACCCTCTGCGCCATGTAAGGTAATCAACTTTATTAATGGTGGATCTGATTTATGTGGACTAACATATTCTGCAGCAAAAAGACACGCCCGGGATTACACCCGAGACAAGTCGTTGCAGGTTTGTAGGATCGGAAAACGTCAAGAGGAATGGAGGAATGCGTCAATCACATTTGACGAAACGGACATTTCTGATCCGATACAATCTCATCACGATACATTGGTGGTCTCCCTTAGAGTGGCAAACTGCGAAGTCAAACGAATCCTCGTGGACAACGGGAGCACCGCGAATATTACCACCATGAAAACATTGAAAGAACTGGGGGCCAAGGAGGAAGATATAACAGGGTCCGGGTCAAGCTTGGTCGGATTCAATGGAGAGCCGAGCAGAACCGTAGGTAATATCTCTTTACCTGTATATACCCATGGTCTAAACATGCAGGTCAAATTCGACGTGGTCGAAAGCATACCAGCGTACAACATGATCTTGGGAACTCCCTGGTTGCATCAAATGGGAGCAATTCCATCGACTTATCATCAAATAATCAAGTTCCCAACGCCGTGGGGAGTACAAAGCATCAAGGGGGATCGACAATCAGCCAAATCCTGCTACCAAACGGCGATGAAGCCAACTGCGGACCAAACTGCCTCCAGGACCGCATAGCAATTAAAGGGTGGCCCCGCTCTGGTGGAAGATGACGACAAAACAGAAGAAGTTGCCATCGACTCAGAACATCCAGAAAGGGTCATCCGCATCGGGAAAGACATACCAAAGCACCTCAAAGACGAACTGATAAACTTCCTCAAAGA